GTGCAGAGAACCTTTGACTTCAATGCACTGCAAGTGTTAGACTATTCATCAAGGCTGTCGCCGCGTCTCCCGCTGTGTTTAACTTACTCTCACCCTGCTTGAAACTAATCAGTGGCGACAGAACGGTTGTTCGTTCACAAGGGTCCTGTAGGTCACCTTTAGGGATGGTAGTGACAGTTTCCTGTGCGCAGTTGGTCGTTTTTATGGTGATGAAACCTGTAGAAGGCTGTAGGAATGTACAGCAGACGACCTCTTCCATCTGAAAGGGAACTGGAGCGTGATGGTGATTACGAGCAGACGACACTGTTAGGACTTCTGTTAATGGCCGTCTTTGAACAAAGTTAATCCAATGAGCGTTGACTGAAAGACCTCTGTCCACATCCGACCGCTATGGCGTACATTTCAATGGTGATATTCCATCCGCAGCACTTTTTAAAAAAGTGTTCATCTATTTTTTTCAACACTTCTGAGTAAAAAACGATATTTTTATTCAGAATACAGTATGCATCACCTTTAATGCAACACACACACACTCACTCTTTCACGCAAGCACACAGACACTCAACATGTACACAACCACACCTCTCGCCTGTGTTGAATAACGAACGTATTTCTTGATATTTTTTTCTTTTCGTAGAAGCAGAAGTTTACATAATTATAACAAAACAAAACGTCTTTGGCCAAACAGTTGTTAGGGCATATTTTTTTTCCTTTTTGTGTGTGTTTCACGTAGCCAGCAAATTCTGAACATGGGTCGGTTGGTCGGGGGAAAAGTCATAAAGACAAGATTATCTCAATAGTGTTCTTGATTCTTATATAGTGTTCTTCTCATTACAATTTCTAGCGTTCTCTTCACTTCAAACTTGTGGCAGCGATTGAGGAAAAAGGTAAACAATTGTATACTCAGAGGAAACAAAATATATGGGAACACCTGTATAAGAAGACCAACTTAACTTTAAGTCGTGTATGTTTAAGAACACAATGCTTTAAGTGTGATAAGACAATGCATGCTGGATTCGAACCTGATGAGCAATCCAAACGAAACTCACCAGACTTAGAGAAGGCATGAAGGATATCGTGTTATCATTGAAGCATGATTTGCACATGCATCATCACTGTATAAAACCTGTCAAGATTATGGTGACATTTGTGTATCAAAATGCCTCCAAAGTCTATTTAACAAAAATCAGCAATAGGAAACTGTCGGCATGGCACATGGTGGCAGATCTGAAAACGAGGTAGCACGTCATTTTGGGAAGTCAAAAGTGTGATTTCCCGCCCGATTGAACAAATACCGACAGACAGGTGACGTGTCAATTCCACCCGGGAGAGGAAGGCCACGAAAGACAAGAGTCCAACAAGATCGCTTCGTTACAACAATTGCACTTAGAAATCGGTTCATGACATCATCAGAAACTCACAGACAATTCCGAACAACAACAGGAATACGAATTTCCTGCAGTACAGTGAGAAACAGATTAAAGTCTGCCCAGTTAAAGTCAAGGCGCCCATTCGGTGGAATTCCACTTACTGTGCAACACAAGAGGCTGAGACTAGAGTGGTCTCGACAGTTTGGTAATCGTGACAGGAGGCACTGGCGTTACACGATGTTAACCGACAAGTGAAGGTTCCTGTTGAGATTCATTGATGGTCGACAACGGGTTTGGTGAAGACGCGGAGAGCGCTATCATGACGTCAATGTTCAAGAACATGAGAGACACGGTGGTGAAAGTGTAATGGTGTGGGGTGGAATAATGTATGACCACAGAACTGATGTTGTGATTGTGCAGGGATCTTTGACAGGCCAGCGCTATTTGGATGAAATTTTAAGACCATTTGAGATTCCATTCTCGCAAAGGATTGGTTGAAACTTTGAGTTCCAGGACTATAATGCTCGACCTCACAGAGCAAAGAGTTGCTTTGGATTTTCTCCTGCAGCAGCAGATAAACAGTCTACCTTGGCCTGGCAAATCACCAGATCTCTCACCTATTGAACATTTGTGGGATGATTTGGGGCGCAGGGTTTGAGGCAGACCACAGCCACCAGCAAACTTACAGACACTCGGACAAATCCTACAAGAAGAATGGCGTCAAATTCCAAGGGAGACCATTTGCTATCTGATCTCAAGCATGCTCAGAAGATGCCAAACATGCATTGATGCCTGAAGCAGCTGGACCAGATACTGACTTTTGCTCACACAATGTCACAATTTAGTTCCAATAAATTCCACCATGACCAAAACATCTTAGTGTTCCCTTAAATTTTGTTACTAGTATATATTTGTCTACTTATGGAATGTAACTTTAACACAGGCAGCAGCCAAACACATAAAGATCATATAATCAAGCCCAGAAGCAATTTAGCGTCCACTGACCTACAACTACTATTAACACGCACATGCAGCTTTCCATAGGTAGTAAATTATCGTTTTGCTGTCGGTTTTGAGATCTTGTGGAATATTGCCCGTAGAATATCAAAATGAAGACGATGTTTCATAACTGGAATCGATCAAAGACTCAAGGTGATGAAACACGAATCTGTATCGATTGAGTCTGGTTTATTTCGCACATTCCATCCTCTCCAGGTTCTCAGACCAGCGCCGTTGAAACGATTAAACAATTTTAAACAACGTATTCGCATATAATAGACACACGTACATGCAGTTGATGTTTGATTGTAGTCATGTCTCCCGTTTCACTGGTGTGATGTTACAGTATAATACTGGGGAGTTTCCAGAATACATTTATCACAATTTGTTTTGTATACTCTCTGATGTTGGTGTGATGGTGGTTGTTAGTTGTACACAATGAGCATTGAAATGCATTGGAATCACGTTTAGTTTAAATATCGTAGGAACCATACGTTTAAATACAGCACGACATTTTCTAATGCCTTGTATCATAAAAGGAACACGGATTTTTTATGAGTTTTTCTGTTATGGGCATGTTACCAAAGGGCCAAATAAGAGGAATAAATTGAATTATATAAATATTGAAATATTTGTAGTTGACCATGTTTTATCCCCTCTGATAGAGCAGTTGTTGCATATGTCGTCACCTTTTAGTGAATGTCCACACTCTGTCACCGTCGGTATATTTGTAATTTCAACATTACAAACTTGAAGACATGGGTGGGTTTTACGCCCATCATATGGTCTGATAACTGATTAGGATGATATCCATCAGTTTTCCGATCGCCTTAGATCAGATGATGCACAGTCATGTTTCGTGTGAGAGCACAGCGGGAATGTTAACTGAATAAGACAACGTGTGTTCATCTCAATAACTGTACAGGGCAGATTATCCAGGTAATTAACAACATATTTAAAAGAAAGGTACAAAGGCAAAGGCCTCAGTATGGATCCTTGAGGTATGCTTGTGAAACTATTTGCCAACAGCTGAAACAGTACTATTCTGTTTCCATAATACAATGTCAAGAATGTCAGATGTTTGGGCAATAACCAGGCCTATGTTGTTTATTGCCGCACTCAGAAATTGTCCATATGGCGGTGGTTTGTACATAATTAAGTCTGGACCAGCCAATACAGTGATTGGCATCATTAGCATCGATCTACGCAATCAACACCCGTTAGTTGCCTCTTACAAAACACGTTCTACCAAACCGACAGTTTCAACACTTACAATCAAACAAACATTTCCTACAGTACATAAGTCTCTTCTTGTACACAAACGTTGATACGGAACACACACTTTCTATCAATCCGGCAGTTTCAACACTAACAATTAAACAAGGCGCAGTACAATTTCTAGCAACATCTCGCATGAACGACGATTTCCTGTTGAGATCCATTAAGGTTCAACAAACCATAAACCGCACACGACACAGAAAACCAACATATCAGATGCAGATATGTCATGGGAAATTTCACGTAGACTTGAGTGGTGTTTGTCTTTACGAAACAAATTTATATCATGTACTACATAGTATGTGTTGCGTGATAAAGATATTTCGAACCCCCCAAAAATGGTACAAACACAACTAACGGATTGTCCCAGTTATTGTAGATGCATTTGTGCGAATGAGACGAAATATGAAACTACGAGTAATACATTCTCACAAATATCTTCCTAATTCTATCTGGCACTTTAATCAACCCAAACCAGTGATCCACTGCCGCTTCCAATTGCGTAGTGACCTAAAAACGTACGCCTGCTGCTTAAAACACTATTTCTTGTACTTAAATTTGTTTTTGTGGCGAACGAAACACACCAACGTCCGCTCAGGATGTGCGGGCCAGGATGTGTTATTTTACTTCAACTGATGAACACCTGCTGCTGTAGAAGTGTTGATTAGTATCGATATATGTTTATTTGCAAAGGGTACATGTAGGCCATCGGCCCATGGTACATTGATCATCTGTCCACAGTTAGTCATACATAATACGGTCAGTGCAACGCGTTTCATAGTTTTAACTTAAGTAAACATACATCGTTGATAACAGAGTTCAGAGTTTGCGGCACATGTCATGATTTCAACATTAGTATTGGCCCATAACACATATATCATAGTGAATGACGAAGGTGCAAGGAATAGCCCAGAAACTGTGTCTATACAATAAAGAAGAAGTTGACATCCATACTATTTTGTCTTATACTTGAATACCAACTTCTATATGCCCCTTAAGAACCTAAACTGGAGCATATTTACAAGCTGGTGCTGTTGACTTGCAATTCTACTGTTGTATCTGGCGTCGGGAAGTACTGACACGATTGCTGCCAGAAGATTCTATTCACACTAAATATCCTCCAGAGCAATTGACTTCAATAGCATGCCACGACCTGGAAACACTGACTCTTTCATCTTGCTGAAACAATCTATCAGCTGAGCTACTTTCTTTGTTCAGGTACAAGAAATGTATAGCAATGGTCGTTACAACTATTTGTGGAATATAAAAACAGCAGTAACAAAAACATACTGATACCATTTTTTCCATTGTCCGTGAACATTACGCGGTCATGTAAATGTTGCCGACAGCCTTTTATTTCTCTATCTTTCCATCAGAAGGCTGCTTCTCCACTGTCTGATACAGGGAGTTGTACGTCCTACCCGCATTTGGCTCACCACCAAAAGCACTGGCTTCTACACCTGTGACGTATGACAATTTGAATTCACATTCAATCGTCATCCGCCAGCCATCACACATGCATGGCTGACACAACATCTTACTAATGTTGTATTTAATTCGCAGATAAGCACCCTCTCTATATCCTTTCCCTATTTCATAGTGCTAAATATCTTATTATTATCAGTTAAGTACCTTAAGTTAGTAAACATATTGTTACCGATCGCGTATAAAGTAAACATATCTATCGCGTATCACTTACTAATTTAAGCACTAGCACGTAAGACAGTGTGTGAAAGTATAATTATAATATATTTTATAAACCTTTTATTATCAACACCAACTGTATATATTTTTAGCAATAATATGATGAATCACCTGTATGTGACGTCATCATGTAAACAATCAACATTATTCAATTGTTATCATAATTATAACGTATGCCACTGTGCTATGTAATTATGAATTGAATAATTAATATGGCTAATTGATTCACATTCAATTGTCATCCGTCAGCCATCACAAATGCATGGCTGACACAACATCTTACTAATGTTGTATAATTCACAGGCAATAAACGTGATGTTTTACACCAACGAGGATCTCCGTCCGTTATTTTGTCTGCTTGGCAAGACTAAGGCCTGAACCCGCGACATAATGTTCAGTGTTCTATGTGCTGCAAGGTGTATTTTCCAATGACAAGCTAGGGGGATAACCGACTTGAGAAACCAGAAACGTTTCCGCCAAAATAGGCTGGAAAATCGGAATCTATGCCTGATCCAGTCAAATCGCGTGACAGAATCGATATTATGTTCGTAAACAGAGTCTGGTTGATTGAAACAAAATGCCAAAGCATGTGTACCTTCAACTTGGATTCGACATGTATGTTCTAAACACACTCATAGTTTTTATCAACATGATGAGTGTTCGATTTGAGTCCATGTTCATCATACTGTAATATTGGACGTTGAATCTGTTTGATTGATTGGAGGGACTTAGAATTGACACCAATCGTAAGAGCCACTGGTTGCGCTTCGATGGGCCGCTAAATTCAAGATTATTTCGGTGAGGGTGGACGTTGGACCAGCATAGTGAATTATCTTTTGTCGGAAAGACTCAATCATGCCGTGCATAAGTAGATGGGGAAACCCTTTGCTACATGGTGTATGACGGGGAAACTCGCTGACCGACCTTATGCCGTCCCAAGCCGTCGATCCTCCTTAGATATTCCATATTTCTTACTTCACCGATGTGACTGGATGGATTTAGTTGAGATAGCTGTTTGTTCACGCACCGTAAAAGCAGTGGAATTGTAATGTCAGTATGGTCACCAGGTATTTTATGCTAAAAACAATTAAAAAGAAACTTGCCTCAAACAGGTAAAAAGCCTGTCGATGAGATGTCATCAATTGTTTTGCCATGTTTGTTAAAGGTCACATGCAACGTAAAACACAACTTTGCAGATTCTGATACCTTTCGGTATGGACTTACCGAAACAAATCGTCAAAAATGCAAATTCAACTTATAAAGTTGAAAAATAACGCGATGAAAAAACCCGCGCGAAATCGGAGTTCAAACGTTTCACTAATTTTCCCCCGACTTTTCTGGGGAAAACGGGTTTCAACAGCAGGGCTGCGCTCATAGCACGTGCGCAGTGAAATAGGTTCGCGCAGCTTGGAAGCGGGTTGTCCGGTGAATACTCGGAGAAGGCTTTGGTGTGAGCTTTTTTTCTAATGTTTTGTTGATATCTTACAGGCGCGAGCTTTTTATATGTTATGACAGTAAATAAACTGTTTATATAATTTCATTTGTCTATTTCACCACACGTTCTTCTTACCGAGTCACTTTCTCAGTTCGATACTTAAAAGCAATGTCATTATTTAGCGTTGACAGAATTTCCAACTGTGATATAGATATGTCGTTGTCACAGACAAAACTCAATGTCTTGTTTTATTGACACCTGTGTGTCTGCCTGCCTGTCTGCTAATGACAATATTCAATACACAGCTGCTATCACTGACCACATGCAATTTGAACTTAACACCAATCAGGCTATACACCATAAACAAAATGCATTGATTTATGGCCCGAGTTCGGTCTCTGTCACATTATGTAATTACACAGACAGGTAGGTGTGATACTTGAACACATGACATGTTATGATGTCTGTTGATTGCAAAATGTCATACACAAAAAATGAGCATGTATTTACAAAACCCAACATCTCTATATATACACACACAATACCCGTGAAGGCATCTGCAAATGAACCAGCCGTTACACTTGAGTGCACACCCACCCGCTCTGACTGGGTTCGGTATCCCGGCTGCTTCCTTTCTTGGGAAGTAAACCCAAGTACACAATACTGCACTTTTGATTTGCGATTGTACGCTTATAATTTTGTTTATATGTTTTTTCATAACCAGCAATGTATATTATATGTCATGAATAAGTGATAATCGTGTTTTAATTATGTTTGATGTTTTTGGTTGCATGTGACCTTTAAAGAAATATTTATCAATCAGAAATCTGAAATGGTTGTTAGTTACAATATTTGAAAATAAGTCTGTCAACTGTCGCAAACGTTTCTGTTTAAAACCGGGCCGTTGAAATTTCACATGCCTTTTCCCACCAATGATGACGCCAAAACGTGTCCAAGAAATTTGAATCAGATATCAAGGTTCTACGCGGTGAAAGCAAAATATTGAACTATGTCGGTCAGTTTCTCTTCCAAATGCGCCTGAAAATATGTCACACGTTCCGTTTCGCAGGTTCTGATTTTACCCTTATTCAACCATCGCTATTCGCCGATACTGAAACGCCTCATTACTTTCCTCTCAATAGTGATTTTCTTCTATTTGACACATGTTCCCTTTAAGTGTTGTCACAACGTATATTTTTGTGATATTTGCTCTCTCTCAAAAAAAGAAAATCCTTAAATTTTCTTAAAACGCATCTCTTTACAATGTACACATTGTTTCCTCGCTTTGGAAACATCATGTCCTCAGAAATCGTTGAACGAATGAAGTCGAACTATTTCAGTATGCCCTTCAAGGTAGTTATATTGAACAATCCATTTGTGACCACTGCTTTTGAGCTGTTCTGGCTATTTAAGCATGTTACCAGAAAATGCCAGACTGCAGATGCTGAACGTTAGCATGAAGGTTCTTATGATGATACACAATTGCTCCAATCGTTGCGATTTTACTGGGATTTTCTGTGGAACAATCGGAAAAAGGTGTTTTTCAGTAGACATATAGTCCAGAAAAGGCTTAAGAGGGTCAGAGTTTAAAACTTTGCGAAGTAACTTGAGCTGTTCTGTATTGGAACCCATTTCAGAATATTCCATTCATATATGCAAACGTAGAAACATTGTGGATAGTTTGTTTGTGTCCTGTGTACTTTTAAAATCATTATCTATGCACAGCAAGGCATCTGGATATTCTGCATTTTTGTTAACATTTTAACTAGATGACTACATTCCCAGTTAAGCTACACTGCTATTATCGTTTAATATGCAAACTGAAGGTTAAAAAAAAAGAGTTTAAAGCTTTTGCCGCTGTCCACAAACAAATAGTTTGTACGTTTCCAGAATATCTATAGGTAACGTCAGATCTGTCATTGGATATTATTAAAGTGCAGCCTTTGTAGCATATTGGCATCATTATTTGTTTTTGTAGACTCCTTGTATTGATTTTCTATCACGGAATGTGGAAACAAGAAACATGATTTTGATTTATTTGTTCAAAAACGTACTTTTTCGCATGTCCGTTACCGCCTGTGTTCATTAACTGATCTGACACATGGTGGCGTATTATTCCCATCCAAACAACAAAACCGTTACACTTTCCCCGTGACAGAATTGGCATTTGAACCATTTGATAGAGACACTGTATGAGAAAAATGGGGATGATTCATTCGATACAAACTCTGAGCATTTGATCACGAATACAGCTGTAACAGATCCTGACTGAACATGTCAACCGTTGTAAATTAGATCAATATTACCTTTTTGATAGAACAATGGTGGGTTTTGCTACAAGTACCATTCTTTTGCTTTAAGTTATATCGTGTGATCGCCATACTTTAGGCTAAAACGAAAAGTTATCAGAAGGATTTCCATGTTATTGAAAACAAAGTTTCGAAAAGTTTTGTCCATTTTCATCGTTATATCCGTGTGTTATAACAAGTTTGACATATTATGTTCAATGGGATCTTGTATTTTGTCTGTCCAACAGACACATCCTCCTCCACCGACTAGCCAGAACACAATGTGATCTCACATTACATACAAATGTATAGTGAATAATTTTGTCATGCTATCGTAGCAGGTTGAAAATAACCACTTTCACATCATGTGATGTGTTGATGACTAATGTTTATGACAGCATTAATGTCACTGTCTTACAGTGCCACAGCCTCGTTCATGATTATGTCCGTAATCATTGAAAATATCGTTTGATCAGGTCATTGATTACATTTCATTCAACCAAATAGTAGGTTGTGTATGTCAAGGTGACAGTATATGAGCAGTGTTTTTAGTTCAAATGTATGATTGAACAGTTAATTGCAGCTTGTAGATAAATGTGTTCAAGTGGTGTGTTGTTACAATGTTTGTGATACTGTTTAAGACCTTCAACACGATTCCACTGAAACATCCCGTTCACATGCGGAAGACTTGTTGCGATTCTTTAGCTGATTGGAGATACAATCAAATACACTTTTTGAAACCATATTACCAAAACAAACGTATATTCGTCAATGAGATCATACATGTATTTCACACATGTATTGCCGTATGTACATGATACGGTCAGCCTACCTACATACATATAAACAGGACCATACTCCGTGCAAGAAGTCACCTTTACAAACCCCTTAATTTCATCATGACTAAATCCTCTTTGAGACCAACGTTCTCATCAGAGGTACGAATGCAACTGAGTTTCATACTACTAATAACATAACAGTGCATTTCTCCAATGTATTCGACAATGAAGACATATTTACAATGGTCATATTT